CATAAGAAGAGATGAAATACTGCCATTTGCGACAACATGGATGGACCTCGAGATAATCATGCTAAGCAAAATAAGCCAGACTGAAAAAGTTGAAAATCACATATCACTTATATGTGGGATATAAACCTAAAAGCAACAAATGAGCAGGACAAACAGAGATTCATGGACATGGACTATAGGCTAGTGGTTACCAGTGGGGTGAGAGAGAAGCAGGGAGGTAGACGGTATAAAGGGTGTCAAATATAGGGTTTAGGGTAAGGATAAAGTGGGTAAAGGGGATCAAATATATGGTAGCCGAAAGAAACTGGACTTTGGGTGGTAAACACACCATAGAATATACAGATGTCAAATGACAATGTACACCTGAAAATTATATAATTGTATTAACCAATGTTACCCCAATAAACTTAATTTTTAAAAATGTATATAATTATATATTACTACTTCGATGATGTAAAAAATGTATACTATGTATGTCAATAAGAATAATATAAAAATATAGACTTTGGGGTACTTGCTTTTAAAAAACCTCTTGTCATGTTTTGTGGTCAAAATATCAAAGTATCATAGCATTTTTTCTTTGAATTAATGGTGAAACAAATACGTATTATAATTTCCCTTATTATAAAAACCTGAATATATTCAATATGCTATAATCATTTTACTATACTGTAAGCTCTTTGGGAGCAGAAGGTAATGCCTAAAGAATGAGCAGGATACAATCTACTCAAGAGGCAAGAGGCATTTTATGATATAATGATCTCAGAAGAAGCTGTTCCTACTTCAGCTGAATGCAACAAAGCTGATATTGTCTCAATAAAAGGAATGCAAAAGTTGAGGTTAAAAAGAAAAGGTCTCAGGCAAGCTTGGCAAAGGCTCTTACTCCTTGGGCAGCATATATGGAAATAAGCCATAAACCCTTGAATAAGACAAGAAAATAATTTCTTTACACTAATTAAAACTGCTATTAATTTCACAGTAATAAACAGTAGTAATATACCATTTTGCTTGTTTAAAGTTAATGTAAAAGGAACTGAAAACTTATGTCCACCCAAAAACCTGCACAAGGATTTTTTATAGCAGCTTTATTTCTAATTGTCAAAACTTGGCAACGACCAAGATGTAAGTGAATCGATAAACTGTGGTACATTCGGACAATGGAATATTATTCAGCACTAAAAAGAAATGAGCTGTTAAGCCATGAAAAGAGATGAAAGAAACTTGGCTTTTTTACCAAGTGAAAAAAGCCAAGTTGAAAGGGTTAAATACTGTATGAAAGATTCCAACTATATGACATTCTGGAAAAGGCAAAACTATGAAGACTGTAGAAAGTGGTTGCCAGGAAGTTGGAGTAAGGGGCAGGAGGAAGAGAAGGATGAATAGCAGAGCATGGAGGATTTTTAGGGTAGTTAAAATACTATGAATGATAACACAATAATGGACACATGTCATTATACCTTTGTCAAACCCACAGAATGTACAACACCAAGAATGAATCCTAAGATATGAGGTAAACTGTGGACTTTGATTATGATGTGTCAGTGTAGGTTCATTGATTGTAACAAATGTATCACTCTTTCGTTGGGGCATACTGACAATGAGGGAGGCTATGTATGTGTGGGGACATGGGGTATATAGGAAATCTCTGCACCTTCCCCTCAATTTTGCTGTGTACATAAAGTTGCTCTAAAAAAGTCTTTATAAAATGGTAGAAACGGCAAGTTATAAAAATTGTATACCAACAGATCTCTCAATACAATTATGAGGCTAGTTAAACCTTGCAACCACTGGATCTCAGACAATAAACCTGTAAGTAACCTGAATTGGAGTTTTCCCAAAGCATTTCAAAAGAAGTTAAAATCACAAGCCAAGCAATTACTTAAAATGTTCCCCTCAAATAATAATGTCTGAAAAATCTCTCTTGGAGACAAAAAAAAATAGCCAAAATACATCTTGGAATAAATATATGCATCTGTACCTATGACAGCTGATGTAATTATTATCAACCTCATGCTCTGAGGCAAATACATTCCCATTAAACACGGCATCCGAGTTTTCAGACATCAATGATATTTTAAAAGAGAAATAAGATCAAAGAAATGATAGTGAATAACAGGTATACTGTGTGCAAGTCACTTGTTCAGCCATGTAACATTCATAAATCTCTAATCCTCATTTCAACCTATCAGGTAGGTGATGATATCTCCATTTTATTAAAATGTAACTGAAGCTCAAAGAGGAAAGTTATTCAAGGTTGTCCATTATTTAAGTGGCAAGGCCATGATTTCAACCAAAATCTGGCCAAATTCCAAAAACTCTGTTTTTACTAAAACAAGCCCCCATGCTGTCACATTGTCATATCTCTCATCCTTCCCTCCCACACACTAATTAAATCTCAAATCCTAGACAGGTTATGTTCTCTCCTTTGTTTTTTTAGCAGGTTCCATGGGCTAATCCCTTCTTCCCTTTCTTCCGTTTCCTCTTGAAGCTGCTGTCCCCCATTCTATCTTTGGATTCACTTCTCTCATAGAAAAACTTCTAAGACTAAGCTGTAGTACTCCAGTTCTATTTCTCTGATATCCACATGAAAACGAGCAAATAGTATAAAGATTAGAAATTTATGTGGGCAATTCTATCTGACATACCTATTAGGTTCCTGCAA